AAAGATGTTCTTCTCTGTCCATTCTATTCATGTGCATTGTTGCTGTGATGAATTCTTCATAATCAATTGTCCCATTTCCATCAGCATCAGCCTAATTATTTCAAAATATATACAATCACAATAATTAGCTTTATAAGTTTTTTTTTTTTTTTTTTTTTTTTTTTAAAAAAAAAGCAAGATACAAATCTTCCAAAATAGAAGAAATTCTAATTTGGTTCAATTTTTTTAAAAAAATATTTATAAAATAATCACTAAAGGTCACAAACATATTCATTGTCACATTAAAGTAATTGTTATAGTGGACGGGGAAGTCCGATGCACGAAGCATACTGCATTCATGCAGGGTCCGAGAAAACATCAATGGCTGATTTTACGGCTTGAGACCGTGACCTATAGGTCACATGGAGATAACTTTACCGTTACTCCGAGGCTCCTCTTCAATTATTATAATGGACGAAATTTAAAAAAAAAAAAACATGTTTTAATATTAAAAAACTTTTTCATTTTTGAAAAATTATGTGAATTTAGAGAACTTACAGCTTCCATTAATTGTTTGATTTCATAATCTGATAATTTGTTCCCTTGTTTGGCTAATCCTTGCTTTAATTCCTCAAGTGTTATTGTGCCACTATTATCAGTATCCATGCCTCTGAACATCTGCTTCAATCCCATAATTTCTTCTTCAGAGAGGCACCCTGCAATTACCTCCACTAATTTCTCCAATTAAATATTTTAATGAATTTATACTTTTCATCGACGGTGTCTAATTTTCACACCATCAGATTAAGTTACCTACAATAATAGGTCGTAATTGTTTATATTACTCCCTCCATCTTAATTTATGTGACACTGTTCGAATTTCGAGAGTTAAACTTCTTTATTTTGACCGTGAATTCGGACATACAATCTTTAAGTTAAAAAATAATTTACATATTTAGAAACTACATAAAAAGTATTATAAGTCACAATAATTAATAATAATTTAAAATATTTAAAAAGTATACGAATAAATTGCGGTAAAAAAATTTTCTTGTTTGACTTTCGAAAAGTGAAAAATGTCATATAAATTGGGACAAAGGGAGTAACAATTAACAAGCATAATTTGTCGGGGAAATAGAGTAATTAACCTGCTATATGTAACAGGTTAATCATACTGATAGTGTAAAAATTCTTTACCCGAAGAGCAACTTTCTTGAACTTGTTCATAGCTCTAAAGTTTTTGAGCTTATTGAGAACAGCATTGTCAAGTGGTGTATCTGGTGCTTCTCCATCCTCCTTTATCCATGGATGATCTTCATATACATATAAATGCACACTTAGATAATCGGTAGTGGAGTCAGGAATTTAATTAAAGGGCGCCAAAATATAATAAAGAAGTTAACGAGATTTAACATATAGTCTATATACATAAAAGTAAGGACCTAAATACCCAATATAGTTTTCTAACGATAGAGTGTCAATTGACACCCCTCATACTAAAGTGGCTCAGCCACTGCCGATAACTTATAGTTATTTTTATACTATAAACTTAAATTGACGTAGTATAACAACATGTAACTAATCTTCCAAATTAAGTATTTTTTTATTTTTATTGGAAAAAAATTACTTACAATGTACTAATAAAATAAACTTACTTAGGACTTGAAGTGCTGTCAACCTCTGACTTGGGTCTGAATTTAACATCTTCCTAACAAGATCCTTCGCTCCAGAAGAAATTGAAGGCCAAGGGTCACTTGAAAAATCAACATGTCCCCTCAATATTGCATTAAATATTCCATTTTCAGATTCTGAAACATATTAAAAAATATTCACACAATTAGATAATCAGCATTAAGTGTAAATTTTATAAAATTGATACATACTTACTAATTTGCTATCATTTGTTAAACTTCACTGATAGCGTAAAATATCTTTATATTGTCATTAAATATGATTTACCTGCCCAAAAAGGAGGAACACCACAAAGAAGAATATTCATAACACCAATACTCCAAATATCAACTTCTGGACCATATCTTCTCTTCAACACTTCAGGTGCTATGTAATATGCACTGCCCACTATGTCTTTAAACACATCTCCTGAGAAATAAGAAGAAAAAAAAATCAAAAATTAAACTAAGCATAATAAAAGAGAGTAGAATTTTATTTTATTAACATACCGAAAAACTATATGTTTAGCTTTTGTATCAAATAGAGGTGGATGCAACGTCTTTTTATGAATTCAACTGACCCCAAAATTTCGACATAGAACATAGATATAAGTAAAAAATCACTAAAATTTCAACAAGTATTAAATTTTGAACACATAATTGTTTGGGCTAATTATCTTTTTTTTTTGTTGTGGTTACTGCTTCTCTTTTTATGGCTTCTCTACTACAATATCTCTTTTACAAAATTGCTATGTTTATGCTTTGAAGGGAAACCTTAGCGTAACTGTTAAAGTTATTGCTATGTGACCAGGAGGTCATGGGTTCGAGTTGTGGAAACAGCCTCTTGCAAAAGTGCAGGGTAAGGCTACGTACAATAGACCCTTGTGATCCGACCCTTCTCCGAACCCCACGTATAGCGGGAGCTTAGTGCACCGGGCTGCTCTTTTTTTCTACGTTTATACTTTCCTTGAGTCGAGGGTCTACCGGAAACAACTTTTCTATCTTCACTAGATAAGGATAAGGTCTGCGTACACAAAATCCTACACGTACCCCGCTTGTAAGATTACATTAAGTATGTTGTCGTAATATCTTCGGGCTAAGAATCTCAACGTTCGTTAAAAGTCTTTTTTTCTTCTTAAACTCCGTGCCAAATGAAACGAAAGGAGAGGAAGTAGATCTTGTTACCTTGCTTGTAAAACACAGAAAGACCAAAATCAGTAGCTTTGAGAGGTGCATCTTCATCTTTGCTAAGGAGGAGGAAATTTTCAGGTTTAAGATCTCTATGAATAACTCCCATTGAATGACAAGTATGTACAATTTGCACAATTGTTCTTAACAATGAAGCAGCTGCTCTTTCTGTATAATGTCCTTTAGCAATAATCCTATCAAAAAGTTCACCTCCAGCACACAATTCCATAACCAAATGCACAGAATGTTTGTCCTCATATGCCCCTTTAAGTTCCACAATATTTGGTTGTTCTGTCAAATGGTGCATTATTTGCACTTCCCTTCTTACATCCTCAATATCCTCTTTATTTACCAATTTTCTTTTGGCAATTGTTTTGCATGCAAATTGTTCTCCTGTTTGTTTATGTGTACATAAATGTGTCACACCAAATTGACCTCTTCCTAGCTCTTTTCCTAGTGTATATGTTGCCTTTATGTCCTCCATTGGCCTACCTAAAACTGGCCCTATTGGGGCTGCTTTAGATGGTTTTGATGAATGGTTTGGTGATGCATGAGGTGGAATCTTTGATGGTGTGGTGGAACCTTGCATGTCATGATTTCCTGCATGTAATAACACCAGATGTCATCAGACACTGCTTCGTCGGAAAAATATCAATATAATATAATATGTGTATACACGCATATGCATTTTTGTGTTATTGTGTATGCACACGCACGAAGGGAAACCTTGACGTAACTGGTAAAGTTGTTGTCATGTGACCAGGAGATCATGGGTTTGAGCCGTGGAAACGGTCTCTTGCAGATATGCAAGGTAAGACCGCATACAATAGACCCTTATGGTTCTGCCCTCCCCAGGCCCAGCGCATAACGGGAGTTTAGTGTACCGGGGTGTCGTTTCTTTTTGTACACGCATATACATTTTTGTGCATGCACATACGTGCGTGCTACGCATGCATGTATGTGTTTGTATGTTTTATGTTTGTAACAAAAGATGTCATCCGACACTATTTCGTTGAAAACTATCAGCATAATATATTGTGTTGTGTTTATATGCGTGTGTTAATATAATTATATACATGTAATAGGGCGATATTGCTTGAAAATAATGTAAATTAAGATTACCTGCATGTGATTCTCCTTGTTTTGAATATGATTGTGCAATTTCTTCATTAGAATTTTGTGCAGGATCAGACTCTGCCTTTGAGCAACAACCCCCCATTGGGACAAAATGCAAAGAAAAAATCCAAACTACTTTTTTTATAATGTTTTTTATTTATTTTTATCTATAGAGAAATCAAGGAGAAGGAAGGGAAAGGTTAGAAATGAAGGAATGAATGGAGAATGGGGTGGCCCAAAGGGAGAGCAAGAAAGGGAAAAATGGGGGTTTGAAGGGAGTCAAAAAGAAAAAGAAAAAGATTTGTTAGAGAAAGAGTTCCACTAATGGTGTAGTTTTTCACAAACACAAAAAAGGAAGGTTAGGGGTGTTGGAGTGATGAGGTAATTGTTTTAGGATTGATTGTGAGAGATTGTAGGACTAAACAATTAAATTCGAGAGATTTTATTTTTTTCTTTTTCTTAATTACTTTTTAAGTTTAATTTCTTTCCTATAAATTTCCAAAAGTTTTGTTGAAAAACTTGTGTAGGAGTAATCAAGTTTGGGACTTTTTATTAGCGGGGAATAAAATTAATTACAATTTTTTTTAAAGGATTCTTTATAGTTAACATATGCTAATATATGGCATGGATTATATTATGATTTGTAATTCAATTACAAAACTTAGATTCATGGTCAGCAACTTCTTAATTTCTTTTTTGAATGAGCTTTTGGAAATTACACTTCAACTGCCTATAATATTATGCTTTGTGCTTAGCATATAATTTATTTTTCGAAATTCACTATTTTGAACCGCTCAAGAAAAAGATGCTCCTGAACCAAAATGAGTTCTCTACAAAAAAGATGCCTATGTTGCATAATACAAGGGAATACGATATAGAATCCTTTCATCCTTAACTAGGATGTCTCTGATTCGAGCCTTGAAAATGTAAAAAATCCTAATATAGGAGCGAATCATAATTGATAGGGGCCTCAAAGTGGATACCGAACATTGGTAGGGGAAAAAACAAGGGAATTGGATCCCTAGTAGTCTCTAGGTGAGTAATCTGTTGTACAACTTGAACCAAGTAAAGGGAGGTTCATTTTATCATTAGACTGTAACTGCAGAACTTAAAGTTTATAATCCTTGCTACAAGAAATTGTAACAAAATATGCAGTTCAGAATAAAGTCATTGCATATTGCATGATTTAATGTTTGATAGTGCAAAAATGTGTCCTGGCATCAAGGTGCCAAAACTTTCACGTCAATCTGAATTCTCGAGAAAGATCTGCCATTTATCCCTAGAAAAGCTGTCTGTTTGAGCGAAAATTGTTGGACAATCGAAAACAAAATGGTGTGGTGACCAACTGAGCTCTGTCACCAGGTGAGTTGACAGGAGAAAGAGCTCCAACACCAAGGGAAAAGACCGTGACCTCTGACGTAAAGGATCCAGGAGCAGAAGGTAATGAGAGCTAGAAGAGAACCAGCTTCAGTAAGTTGGGATCGATGGATCAACTTTGACAGCATATTCGTTGATTCCTCCAGCAATGTTAAATACTTTCCTGAATCCCTGGGATTCAAAAATTAAAAAAGAACGTCAAGAGGCAACAGTTGTAAGATTCAGCAATAGACGATGTATAACAACAGAATTGCAGTATAGCCTGCCTTCTGCATTATGATCAATGTCACAGCATGTGATGCACAAATGTAATGCATTTTGGGGTATATTGGATGAAATAGCAAAGGCCTCTAGAGGTGGGATTTTATACCAACAAAATACACCTGCTATATGTGATATAATCAGAAGCTGATATACTAATTCCTACATAGCCTGTCCTTTTCTTCCTCTTAGGTGAACTGGTGTAAGAAAAGCTTGTTAAGTCAAATTCCTTTCCGAAGGAAAATCAATTAGTACGTTAATAGCTTTTGCATTCATGACAAGTTGCCAAAAGGCTATGCACTTGGCTAGCAGTAGGTTCGACATTATATTAAGGTACTAAAAGCAGCATCTCTTAGAATGACCTACTTTTCGTAAGTATATGCCGTGAAAATAAATAATTCTAGAAACAGGTATTTAGACTGTTTTGTTCATTCAATTGGAGAGATGTTTCTGTAAACTTTATCCTCCAACCCAAACCCCAGCTTTTCCCTAATACACCACTACCTACACAAGTACGCCTTGAAGTCAACATGAGAAGAGCGAAAAAATGACAGGTTTAAAGACCCTCTCCACCCGAGAATTACTTTTTGAGATGGCAAGCTACATAAAGACATGGAAGCATCACCCAAAAAGTACGATTAACAAGCAGAGCTACCATCTTCATCTACGGATATGAGAGACAAATGTTCCAATATATGCCTTGCATCTTAGAAGAATAATAGAAACACAAAAATGTTCCATTAAAGGTAGGACATGTTTATCTCTTGACATTACTCCCAATTACAAATGTGAAGATAAAGATCCTACCTGTGTCTGCAACCACTTGGCGACTTGTAGTGATCTCATGCCATGATGACACTGCATAACAGACATAAATAAAGTTTTTGAGAAGAGAAACAGAAACATAATTTTGGATTATCAATATCCAAACATCTATCGCTCATAATTTTCTATTATAATTTATCATGTCAATTTACAAAATAAGCAGTCAGTATCTTGAGTTCAACGCTTCTGTTTAAGGGAGAAACTCTTATCTTAAGGCCCAAGGAACAGAAACCTACTTCTAAGCCATGTAAAGAAGCCTATCTGGCATGCTACCTTCGCATGTGTCATGATAACTTTGTTGTCAATGTTATAGCGTATCCTGTATCTGTCCCCATTCCACAAGTAACCATGATATGTGTATTGGACCTAATGCTTATGCATAACAACAACAACAACAACAATAAAAAACCCAGTAAGTTCCCACAAGTAGGGTCTGGGGAGGGTAATGTGTACGCAAACCTTACCCCTACCCCGGGAGGGCAGAGAGGTTATTTCCGATAGATCCTCGGCTAGGGAGTAGATGAAAAGAAGCATTGGCCACGAGTAGTAACAACAACAAAATATTAAGAAAACCAAAGCGACCGATATCAATCAATATGCATAGATATTTATAAATCAAGACACGAAAGAAACAAGGAAAAGATGAAAATGCAACTCATAAACCTCTCACTGAAATGAGAAGTGGGAAGAAGGGAATGAAACAGTAGTTGTACGGTAGACGGTCATAAAGTTTCAATTATAAGGAGTAAGGAAGAAAGTGAAATGATTTGGAGAGTGATTTTCTACGATATTAGCTACAAGTAAATAACTTTTCATCTTCTAAGATATGATTCGTAGAAGTTCATAGTCCCCAAAAGCCCGCGCGTGCACCACACAAAACACACACATATATATATTGATAGGCATGTCCACCACCATTACAGACATGCCTGAAGGTAAAAATCAAATTAACGTCTCAACTTCAGTCTGAGTGAAGAACATGCACTAACCAAGACATATGTGTCCTTTTGAGGATCAAACTTAGTTGTTATTTCTGGTCCCCAGCTTCCAAATTGGCGAAGGGGAAGAACCTGAAATCCTGGTAAAGAAGCCTGGGCCCTGTCACAAACACACAAAGAAGAAATGAATAGTGTAACCATGTTGTATACATTTTCATGGGAAGTTCCTGGGATGCTTTTCTATGTAAAGTCGGGTATGCTCTTTAACTTAAAAAAAAAAACTTAAAGATAGAAAAGCTGCAAGTGAGTATTCAAAATATATGAAAAAATGAGCTCATACACTTCCTCTGGTTCTCGAACATCAATCAATTGAGCCTCTTCCAGGAAAGATGGATCTTGCAGCTTCACATGAAACTCGTTTGGTTGGATGTGTTCAAGTACAGATTCCTCCCTGCACATAGCATTAACAACAAGTAAGAGACAAGGATCTTGAGCTGTTGAAGTGAAGCAGGGTTTCTTTGATTACCTCTCAGATAGAACTTGCAATAAATGCCATCCAAACTTAGTTTTACACTTTACAACCTTATTCAGTGGTGCACCAAATGCAGCTTCTTCGAATTCTGGTACCTTATAATTTTAACAATGAAAATACATCACAACCACGTGCAAAACAAATAAATCAAGTCAACTAAGTCTGGGCATCCATGTGACCGAAATGCAGCTTCTAATAAAGAAAAGATAGAGAAGTACTAAATAGGATATAAATAACAAAAACAGCAAGGGAATAGTTGGAAATTAAAAAATTATAAGAAAGGTCAAATCTCCATATAAATGTTTGTAAGACAGCATATGGATAATTTTGTTGCTATCATCTAAATGCCTGTGAGTATGAAAGATTACATTCCAGAAATATAGTCATGAGAAAATTTTGATTCCCGTTAATCAGAAGCCCAGTCGGAGAAAAAGAAGAATGATACTTTTGAAGACATAATCATAAGCATACCATTTGCCCTTTTCTCACCCAGCCAAGCATTCCCCCTTCTTCTTTTGATGGACAAAGAGAATACTGAACGGCCAGATCACTTAGATCCTCTCCTGAATATAACAAGCAATTAGGTCAGCAATTTATCTGAAAGTGCAAGCATCAAGATAAAATTTGTTTACTAATGTACCAGTATTCAAATTTAATCATGTCATTTGAATAACAGCAAGGAAAATTTAATTTTTCTCATTTTCTCTTCGCTTCTTAATTTTAAGAAGCCAAATATTGCTGAAGCTTTTCTCATTAAGCAAAAACTTTGAAAACTAACCTTCTGCAGTTCTTTTCAGAAGCTCAAGTAAAAGCTTCTGGTCATCTTCTTTGACAAGTAAATGCTGTACTAATATCTCTCGACCGCCTCCAGGACCACTTCCAGCACTATATGAGGCTGAAAGTTATATATTGTGAGATTTAGCAACAGCATGTATAATATGATAGCAAAAGGAAAAAAGAACTCTCTTCACTTTCAGAATATGGACAACCAGTATACGATCTCAAAATCCACAGGACCCCAGACAGGTAAAACTGATATAGTAAGTCACACTCACATTTCTGATGAAACCATGTTTTGGTAATATAAGAATCAACTCAGCAGAGAAAATAGTGTATTTCCAGCCATAGGGAGCCTTGTGGCAGAGATGTTCAAGCAGTTTAATGGGCCTAAAACAGATTTTTTAAACTATTCAAGACCCGAAGCACCTATTGTCTATTGATACCCATTCCCCAACTACTGAGCATAAAATCCAATTCTCGTGTGCTTGAAGTTCCCCAGGAACACATGTTTCAGGTTGTCAGTCTAAGACTCTAAGGGAGTCAACATCCTCGTCGAACGTACTAAAATAACAAGTATAGAGCAAAATACTCAAGCTCCCTACATTTTCTTGGGAAAACAACAATAAAGATATCTATTTCACATGAAAGGCAACAGTATTTAAAGGTTTTGTATAATCAACTACACCTCAATCCCAAATTAGCTAGTGTAATCTTTATGAATCTGTGTCCAAATATAGTACTCAAAGGATTCATCTTCGTTAGACTATTTTTTACGGTGGCAGTCAACTCACTACTACCCTCCTTAATCACCAGCTATACTTTTCACACTGGCAGAGTTGCTTAACTCACTATTCCTACTAAATTCTAGAGGACACATCTACATTTTCTATTGTGATTCAAAACCACCTATAGTCATGGTCTTGCCTATTATTGTATCTCTATTTTCAACAATTCAGCAGCTAAAGTACTTAACCCGTGCAACAGTGCTCCCCAACTAGTGCCAGAGTACGGGCAGGTGAGCTTATACCCTATGCTGACCCCCCCTCCTCCTTTTTATTTATAATTACATAGGGAGAGAGGGAGGGAACTGAAAGGGGAAAGGGGATGGTGAGTTTCGAACTCACACTGATTATGTGAAAAATCTACCAGTATCACTAGACTACAAGCCATGTTGCTTTCCCCTTATATATTTCTGCAAAGAGGTTGTTTCTACACCTTGAACCATGACTTATAGGTCACTAAAAGAGCATCTCTACCGAGTGATTTTTAAAAAAATGCAAACTTGCATAGTGAGTAAATACACTTAACTATCAAGGGGATTCAATAACAACAACAACAACAACAACAACAACAACAACAACAACAACCCAGTATAATCCCACAAGTGGGGTCTGGGGAGAGTATGATGTACGCAGCCTTACCCCTACCCTGGCAGGGCAGAGAGACTGTTTACGATAGACCCTCGGCTAAAGAAGATGAAAGAAGCCCTGATAGCAAGTAATAGCAAGACAATTAATTAGAAAACTAAATCGAAGATAGCAACAGAGAATATGAAAGAGGTACCGATAACAAGTAATAGCAAGACAATATATTTAGAAAACTAAATCCAAGGCAGCAAACGAGAATATGAATGAAGAACTGCCAGCAAACTACGGAATTACTGATGACAAGTAATAACATAACAAGACATGCGAATATAGCACACTAAGGAAAAAAGGGTACCGTACTAGCACTAATACTATCGAACTATAGAAGTCAACGAGAAACGCACGACTACCTATTAACCTTCTGCCCTAATCTTCAACCTCCACACCCTTCTATCTAGGGTCATGTCCTCGGTTAGCTCAAGTTGCGCCATGTCCCTCTCCCCAAGACTTCTTTGGCCTATCTCTAACCCTCCTCTCACCTCCCAAGGCCAACCTCTCACATCTCCTAACTGGGGCATCTGTGTTTCTCCTCTTAACATGCCCGAACTATCTCAACCTCGCCTCACGCATCTTAGCCTCCACAGGGGCCACTCCCACTTTATCCCGAATAACTTCATTCCTAATTCTATCCAACCTAGTATGCCCACACATCCATCTCAACATCCTCATCTCAGCTACTTTCATTTGCTGGACATGGGAGATTTTGACTGGCCAACACTCTATCACATACAACATAGTCGGTCTAACCACTACCTTGTAGAACTTACCCTTAAGTCGCAACGGCACATTCTTATCACACAAGACACCGGAAGCGAGCCTCCACTTCATCCACCCTGCTCTGATACGGTGTGTGACATCCTCATCTATCTCCCCATCCTTCTATATATACTAAAAAATTATTTTTACTTCATTTGTATAGTGTACTTTTCCGACGAAGGGGTTTCAATTGAACCACTTCAACACACTTAGCTCTTCCAACCGCCTCTACCCCCTTCCATTTTGACCTACATTGCACCAAGGTCTCTCAAAAGTGCATCAAATACAAATATCAAAAACTATAATGCGATGAGAGGGTTCGTACAATAAAAAATAGTTGTGGAAACTTTTGGTACCACTAGACTGCAAGACTTGTTGCTTTCCCCTAATATTTCTACAAGCCCATTTCTATTTTCACCTTCATTGGAAAGTTGTACTGCACAAATAGGGCAAAAACAATTGCTTTTTTGTATATATATTAACTTTTGAATCAACTTATATTGGCAAAGGTAGTTTTTTTCAATCCCCTTGTTAAAATTCCTGGCTCTGCTACTGCCTACATGTCACCAAAAAGAGCAACTGTACCTCCTTCCATTTTGACCTACATATCACCAACGGAGCAACTTTACTGTTGCACCGGGCCTCCCCTTCAACAGTGCATCATCTACCATCAACAACCACTACTACTATGTTTTAGTCTCAAACAAGTTAGGGGTCGGCTATATAAATACTCACTAACCACATTACTCTATTTAAACTCTATCTCATGCCAATATTATGCAAATACAAATAAAAAGTAGTGCAGAAGCTACAAATAACAAAAATAGAAATGCAAAAAAGATAGGGTTCGTACAATCAACAAATACCTGTAATAAATTTAGAACAAGTATGACCTTGACCCAACATAGTTGACACCCTTTTAAAGCTGGGAAACTGGATATTGTAACGCGAATTGGGTAACAGGGTTCTCGAGTGAAGTAACGCTAAACGGGTAAATGCTGATAATTTACGAGAAGTTGGAGTTAACGGCGATGTGATTTTCCAGAAAGAGAGAGCGAAATGAGCAGGCGATCCAGTTGTTGGTGGAATATGCAATGAAGAAACTCTCAACATTTGTACGAACTGCTGATATTACTGCAATTGCAAGAATAAAAAAGCTATCTATAATGACTTCAAATGGTACTTACCTTGTTGGGGTATTGAAGGGAAAGGGGAAAATTAGTTTTGAAATTTTATTCGACAATTTATATATGCTTATTTGGAATTATCTTTGTAATAAAAGTGCTTGGAATTATTTGACTCATTAATAGAGCTCTAGTGACTTCAACTCTTCAAATGTCCCAATTTTTGAGAATAAAGATTTTTTACTTTTTTAGAATTATTTTCATGTGGGCAAAAATGAGGATATACTTTAGGTTGAAGTTTAGTTCAGCAAGTCAAGGACAAAAAGAGAGATTTTTTCCTAACGGCAATGTAATATTATACCAAATAATTTAAGGGAAGGCAAAAGTTTCGAATAGTATAGGCGCAAAAAATTGACAATTTTTCTTAAAACTAAAACTCTTTGAGTTCAACTAATTTATTTTGATTGTCCTGATTCTTTTCTTTCTATTTTAAAGAAAAAAAAGTTATTTAACAGTGTAAAAATGATACCACGTTGTCATTTTTAGAGTTGTTTTGCAAAATAGTAGAAAATTAGCTAGTATAACTTAAAAATGCGGTAGAGACCGGCTTTTTCAAATAGTTCATTTTTTTCTAAAGTTGGAAAATTGTCTGAACTTCAAGAAAAATTGCCTAAACTTCAATAAGAATTGTCTGAACTTCAATAAAATTTGCTCGAACTTCAAGGAAAATTACCTATAGTTGAAGGAAAATTGCTAAACTTGAAGAAAATTGTCTCAACTTTAGGTAAATTCCCTGAAGTAAGAACTGTGGCAGTTTGAACTTCAAGAAAATTGTGTGTATACAGATCTGTACTGTCAGTAGAAGTAATATTCAATAATCTTGTATGTGAATCCAGTCTCGGTTTCTTGTCTGTGCAAAGAAGATGAAGAAGAAGTAGAAGGGGTGTTTTGCCGCTTTTTTAAGTTGTGGCTATTATTCAAAGACTGCGCAAATATTGGTTACATTCCAAACAGCAGCCCCAGAATTGAATATATGTGATAAATCCTCCAATAGTAGAGCTTTGTCTTCCCAGTCATTTTTCTCAATGCAGGAAGCAAAAAATTTTCCACTTTCTTTTAACAGACCACAAAATAAATAAAGGGCAAAGATCTAAATATGCCTTAATACTATACGAAATTGAGCCCACTTATTTCGTTAATACTTTAGCTCAAATATGTCCTTACCGTTAGCCCTTAGAGTTACACAGTTGGCACATATATGCCCTTAGAGTTACACAGTTGGCTCATATATGCCCTTTTCGAAACGGAATTCGCCCAAACTAATTAGATCTTTCTTTAATTGTATTAAAGTGTATTACAAACACTATTTCTTTTTTATTAGTACTTTTTTTCTTTACCTTTCTCTTTTCTTTCTTCTTTTTTCTTTTCTTCTCTTTTTTTTTTCTTTTTCTTTCTCTCTTATCCGTTTCCTCCATTACTGATGTCTTCTCCATTTTCGTCACAAATTTCACTTGACAAAATTCATGAATTCCAATTACTAAGAAAATTCTCCATAAGGTAATCAAGTTCCAATTTCACTGGCCCTCTAAATAAATTAAATTAAATTATTCCAAAAATTATGGTTTAAACTTTTAAATAATAAAAACGTCTCAACCTTTAACAATACTTAAAAGACCAAAATATTTAAATTGTTTCCAGAAAGATAATTTAATTATTAAAAGCCTAGAGTTCAAATTGTAGTGTTATAAATTTGAGTTGTTAGTCTTTTTTCAGCTGGACATTTTCTATTTTTTCTATTAACTATGTAAATTAGAGGTGTACATGGAACGGGTTGGTTTGATTTTTATCAAAATCAAACCAAACCAATTATATCGGTTTGGATTGTTCGATTTTGTTGGATTTTCGGATTTTTTATTCCATAAATATTATTTTAATCTTACTTTGTTAAATTTTTTAGAACTAAATATATGTTCAGTAAAAAATAAAAAATTGAAAAACATATGATCTATAAAAATATTCTTATGGGAGAATTTTCTTAGTAATTGGAATTTATGAGTTTTGTCTAAGTGAAATTGGTGATGAAAATGGAGAAGACATCAGTAATGGAGGAAATCGGATAAGGGAGGGGAAAAAAGGAAAAAAAGAGAAGAAAAGAAAAGAGAAAGGTAAAGAAAAAAAAAGTACTAATAAAAAGGAAATAATACAATTAACGAAAGAGCTAATTAGTTTGGGTGGATTCCGTTTTGAAAAAGGCATATATGAGCCAACTGTGTAACTCTAAGGGCATATATGGACCAACTATGTGACGGTAAGGGCATAATTGAGCTAAAGTATTAACGAAGGGCAAATGTGCTCAATTTCGTATAGTATAAGGGCATATTTGGACCTTTTCCGATAAATAAATAAAGAAAAAGAAATCTTCCTCAAAATAATATTGGTGAATAGTCTCAAACCAGCAAAATGAAATAATGTCTAAGAATTAACTTTGAAGAGCTTTAACAACACGTGGTTTCTTTCTGAAATAATAACCATATACAGTTTGTCATCAATTGACTTTGCCAGAACCTCCAGAATGTGTCTAGAAAAATAATTGTAGGTAAAATCCTACTTTGAAAAATTAATGGTACAAGTTTACAACAGAAATACAGCCAAAATCCAGGAGCAGATTTTCGTACCATTTTTTGTTCTGTTGAACAATTAACTTATGGCGAAACCGGCCTTCTGCATTGTATACATACAAGAATCAACTTTGGCATGGGAACAAACTTCTTCCTTACAACCTCCAACTTTCTAAGGACATGAATGGTACAGACTCCATGCATTTAAAAAGAGCAATGGATTCGAGTTATAATCCTGTCAAAACTCCCCTGATTGATTTTAATTCAGAAAAGAGGTTTGAGAGGTTATAACACAATTTACCATGCAAGTCTTGATGCCTCATTTGCTTTGTGTGGGAGTTGGAGGAATGGTATCGTAACTTCTTCTCCCTCAAAATGTGACAAGGACCACAAGTTAACAGTGGCAGTTATCAACTCCCTGATTATTTAGGCGATTTAATGGTCTCCAAGTATAAATAAGCATTCCCAGAACAAGGATGATGGCTCCTGCTACAAAACCAGGCGGGAGGGAGGACGCAACTCCAAGATATGGTAATGGCAATGTGAATAAAAAGACGGATATTGGTACTGCAATGGGAAGTATCAAAGGCAATCAAGGTCAGTAACTAGATACTCATCTAGAAGAAAAGGTTCGACTGCAATAAACTGAGACTAAATCTGCTTTAAAATACCTGAAACTGTTGACGCGAGACAAGATACCACAGCAGAGGAAATCTGAAGCAGGTGTAACAATGAAATATTGAAACCCATGTTTACAATGATAAACAGCAGCGGTAAAAGAGGTGCACCATCACACCCTAGAACAAGACAAGAACGAAGCAACTACAATCAGTGTTCTGTCTTTGAATCAGAGTGTCGTAAATTAAGAAGAAACAAAGAAACAAGAGTGCAGTGAACCATCAAAGATTTAGTAAACCTCATGATCTAGCTTTTTGGGGTCGAGTCAGGTCCATGGTTCATTTTCTTAGCAACATACATATGAGAAACTGGATAAAAAATGTGAAATAACCCTAGTCACCATTCATGCTTTTTCTTTTGTCATCATCAGAAACTAGTTAGTTATTGACACTTATGAGCATCATTGATGAAATGATATACTTTCATAGATGAAGCTGAGCTCAAAATATTTCACTACTTACCACCGGATAATGTGCCGATGTTCAAAAAGCATGCAGCACCATCTCTAAGGTAGTTTGGCAGTTGAGTAAATGGAACACCCCATAACTTCGACAAAAATGGGAGGAGAAGGCATATAAAAACTGCCTGCAAAAGATATCTAAACAGTTTCAGTAATTCATTCAAAGAAAAGAATACAGTGAATGATAAAACAGTAAAGATGCCTACCTGGTAAGCGGATCCATAGGAGTTCACGACAAACAGATCAACAGTACCTACCTGCTTATACCATTGTAAATTAAGATAACAACCATCAGATCTTAGTATGTGCACTATAATAATATCATCTACTCCAAAAGGACTGTTCTAACAATAACAAAAAAAAATAGCTTCTTATTCAAATATCAATATGGTTTTGTAACTTTTAATTGCAAAAGCAAATGTCTACCTTCAGTCTTTTAGCAGCATCCAAGAATATTACTTCCTGCACATAAGAAAAATCAATTCTCCAGGTAAATCATAGTGCAATCATGAAGATGACAAAACGGGAAAACCCTATTGGAAGAAGAAAATATGAACAAAAGAGAAGGTATGAACCTTTAAGACAGTATCTGCAGCTTGGAACAAAAAGGAAACTATCATCAAAAGACTCCAAAATATTCCAGCTTCCACCAAAGAACCAGCACTAGATCCACTGCAAATTAAGGAGATAATCAGGAATATAAACAACCACTCGAAAGTTTAGTTCCTCCTCGTTCAAACTTGGTTATAAACTAGGATTATCTCAATATTTTCCAAAGAGGATAACTCTTGTTGGGAGTAGATTATCACTTCAAATCTTTCACCTATTCATAAGATATATAACTTGGCAGTCTAGCCCAACAAAACACATGTATTGGGAATAAGAAATTAATTTGGATTGTGCTAACATGATGGACACTTCAGAGACTGACGTTGATATAGATACTTAGAATTTTAGAAATATCTTATTTGTTTCTCAAATGCACTAGTTCAATGGAAAACAATTTGACTAGGAGAAGATTGATGATGTGTATTGACAGCTGAGCAGCAGGCATATGCAGAAAGAGAAAGCACAATGCACCACTTCTTCGGACTACCGGTGAATCACAGATTTTATGTAGCGTTTTACTAAATGATATGACGCATATAGATGTAGAATAATAAAAGACCACTCTTTTGACAGTAAGGTGGGAATCGGCTTTAGGAAGAACCTTTTTTTTTCTTTTTTTNGACAAGCACGGTCATTGTCTGTTTTAGAAGAATTATCACCACAAACGAAATGAATGATGAGGCTTTCAGATCTCAAAAGGCTTGAAACTTCCAGCCACTTGAACAAAGTTTTTCAAGTGTTGCAATTGAAAGCAATTGTGTTGCAAACCTTGCTACAGTTATGATAACACCAACAGCCACGAGAAAGCACCCAAACAACTGGTTGAGACTATATCTTCTCCCGAGGAAAATAAAAGACAGGAGAAGTTGCCAGACAAGAAAACTCTGCAAGGAACAACAGATGGACAAGTTAATTAACCCATTCAATTCCACTTTGAAGGAAGTTTTAAACAAACTAAGCCTACAATCATGTTAGTACAATAACAAGTAATTCGCCTCAATTCCAAACTAGTAGGTTTCTTCAGTATCCATTCGGCTCCAATTGGACCCATTCCATTTTACTACTCAACAATTTGTTTTCTAAAACAAATTAGGGGTTTTTAGCACTAGAGGTGTTCTGCATATTATACTAACAAATGAATGCCTAAACAAACCAAAAAGACTCCTACAAATTTCACACCAAATGTAGTACCAACACGACTAAGTTTTAGTTCTAACTAGTAGGTAATGCTCTATACGAATCTTTTGCCTTTATTTTGTTATGTTCTTTGCTAAGTATGAACAGATACCAAGAGAATGTATATCTTTTAAGATAAAGGATCACAAAATTTTAGGTTTACCTTGTGTTGCTTTAACACTTCCACTTATTATAATGTCACAGCTATAGACCAAGGTTTACATAAGATATAACCAAAATGTCTCAGGCGGCGTACACGTATCTTATCCTCCATTGTGCTACGTGTGCCTTTTGTCAGTACAAGATCATTGCGGATCCAACTGCACATTCTAAGAGACTACCAATTGTCTAAATCATTTGGTTTTACGATGACCAATTCAACCTTTCTCAATACAAGAATTTACAGCTAATGTAACCATAATTTTAGGCCATGCTCCTAAAAGTACTCAAAGAAGAAGTGAAGTTCAGAAATGAACCCTAATGTCCAGTATCAAACTGTTCAAACAATATCTGTCTTCAATAGAAACTGTTTTATGATAGAAGATTATAATGTTGGAACAATATATATTAATGCAGTCTAGTAACTTCTATATTAGTTCTCACTCCCAGTTTTAATTTTGTTTCCCTATCTTCTAAGTAAACATCATGCAAAATCAAATTGCCGGTATTCTTCCTATTGTACCAACAGACATAAGCACTTGATCTGATGGATTGATTTCCTTAAAACCTACCATCATACGGATCACTTTTAGTAGATTTTCAAAAAATCAGTCTTCACCAGAAGTTCATAGAAAAGTGAAAGGAGACAAATTTCAAATTATTATTATTACCTGGGAGAGTATTGGAATTGTGGCCCCCGAAAGAATAGCTGTTTGAAAGGAGGATAACAACAGAGGATTAAGTTCAGAACTAAAAATCGACAGAGCTATGTAAATTCTGATATTCACAGAAGAGCCAGAATAACGGGCTTCATATAAATGAGTCCAAGGACTAATTGAAAAACCTAACAAGCTGTCAACAAATTTGCACATCAATTACTTGTTTAAGTGTTGTCAAAATGACATTTTGTATATCGTAGACAATAAAATGTGTTTAGATGTTTGCAATTACTTGTGGTACTTTTTTGCATTTACACTTTGATTAAGCATAATCAACTTACAATTAGTCCAAGGACTAATTGAAAAATCTAACAAGCTGTCAACAAATTTGCACATCAATTTCTTGTTTAAGTGTTGTCAAAATGACATTTTGTATATCGTAGACAATAAAATGTGTTTAGATGTTTGCAATCAACTTAGGTACTTTTTTGCATTTACACTTTGATTAAGCATAATCAACTTAGAGGATTGTGTTTCATATCTTCTTCAATTTTTGAAGGATATCACTTTCATTTTCAGGTTCCTAACATCTAAACGGCATAGACGTAGAAATACTCAACTCATGCCAGTTCTATTATCTTTCAATAGCATCACACTGATACTGTTTATGCTCTACATCAATCATTAGAATGCGTTGGCTCTAGAGAATGGTAATTGATCATGAGGCAACTCCAATATCCTCCATTGATTGATATGATGCACATAAACTACTTATTTAGATCAAAGATCACCTTCCACAATGTGAAAGAATCAGGTGGACTAGCCCAATTTTCTAAACCTCTTTGGAAACCTTCATACAACCCAAGTGGGACAACTTCATCACTCAACACAACACATACTTTGAATTTCATTTATTATTCAATCACAAGATTTAAACCTTTCTATACAAGTTTCTTCATTTCCAAGCGTAGGTCAATAAGTGTTACATGACTCGCAATCTATTTTTTTATGTAACGGAAACAGCTGCAATGGTGTCACTGTCTTATTTATCATATAAGCTTCAGAGTGTCCCTTTTTCTGGCTTTTGAGTTTTACTTTCAAATGTCAAATTTCTATCCTCTTCTCTAGTCTCATTTAGCAGTTAATTATCTACTACATACAAAATGTGACACATGTCAAGTTTGCAATAAAAGCACATGCAGATATAATATTTTTTTATTAATATCCTAGTTGATAAAGGGAACAACAAAATCAGGCAAGAAAATCCAATGTGAGCAAAGAAGATAATTAAAAACATCTGGTGGAGATTCTAGTAATGTGATTCAGCATGAACTTTGTATTACCTCCAGCAGCCATGCCAGACGCAGCGGCAAGAGCCTCTAATAGACCAACAGCAACAAATGGAGTTTTTGGAAGGGAAAGCATTTCATCAGTGACCTTGCCAGCATGATACCGAAGATATAAGATAGTGAAGTATACGAGTACATATCTGGGTGAAAGGAGGAACAAGAAGCAAAAAAGAAGTAATTCAGTAACAAATATGTTCACTACTAATTTTTAATTGTTGATGCATTGTGCTCAGAAAAATCAGCATATCCTAAAATAAAGAGTTTTTACTTTCTTATTGTTATTTGTTACTTATTGATTCAGTAATGGATATTCACATTTACATTTAAAAAAAAACATATACTATTTTCGTTATATTAGACGTAATGATTTGTATGCCCAAATTTGACAGATGTAAGGAAAAGAAGTAAGAAATCCTAAATGATTCTCTGTTCCTCCTTTTCACCTTTCATGCAATAAAATCATTATGTGGATTGTGGAGGCTACTTGTGGCATATTAATACACCTTTTAGATGAAAATGAGTTGCAGAGTTTCTGTTTTCACCTACTTCATGATCCCTTAAACTCGTAGATAGGAGACTGCTGGTTACATATTGATACCATCTTATATTAAAAGTCAAAAGTTAACCATCTTAACGATTCGCAAAAATGCTGGTAGTACAAGAAGAGTCCGACATAATCAAGGAACACATGAGTAGAAAGTTTGTGTAACGACCCGACCGGTCGTTTTGATCATTTACGCTCCTTTCAACTATTTGAGGTCCTTCACAACTTCCTACGAGTTATTATGACTTGTGTGAATTGTCGGTTTTGGTTTTAAGGTATTTCGGAGTTAGCTTGGAAGAATGAATTTCATGTTGGAAGCTTAAGTTGAAATAGTTGACCAGATGTTGACGTATGTTTAAACAACCCCGGAATAGAGTTTTAATGATTCCAATAGCTCCGTATGGTGATTATGGACTTAGGAGCGTGTCCGGAATGTGTTTTGGGGGACCGTAGCTCATTTAGGCTTGAAATGGCGAAAGTCGAAATTTTGGAGTTTTGGACCGGTAGTGAAAATTTTGATATCGGGGTCGGAATCCGATTCCGGAAAGTGGAGTAGGTCCGTAGTGTTGCATATGACTTATGTGCAAAATTTGGGGTCAATCGGACGTGGTTTGGTTGGTTTCGGCATCGGTTGTCGAATTTGGAAGTTTCAAGTTCTTTAAGTTTGAATCGGAGGATGATTTGTGATTTTAGTATTATTTGATGTGATTTGTGGTTTCGACTAAGTTTGTATAGTGTTTTAGGACTTGTTGGTATGTTTGGTTGAGGTCCCGGGGGCCTCGGGTGTGTTTTGGATGCTCAACGGGTCATTTTTGGACTTAGAGAAGTAGCAGATATTTCTGGTTTTTGTTGCAGAACTTTGTTCTTCGCGTTCGCGAAGGTGTGGACTGTGGAAGCATCGCGAACGCGAGGAGCAGGACGCGTTCGCGAAGAGTGTTTTCTGAGTGTGAGGTTTAGTTCTTCGCGTTCGCGAAGGGGAGGACGCGAAGGTATGGTCTGTGTGTGCATCGCGAATGCATGAGTGGTGTCGCGTTTGCGAAGAAGAGTGAGGCTATTGGGGACCCCAAGTCCTTGTTCTACACATTCGCGAGGTGGTGGTCGCGTTCACGAAGGTATGAGCTGGTAAATCTTCGCGTTCGCGAAGCCGTGGTCGCGTTCGCGAAGAGTTAAATTTGTGGGCAGTCTAGTTGTGCTTCGCGAACGCGAGGGATCTGTCGCGTTCGCGAAGAAGAGAGGTCTGGACAGAAAGTTTAGAAGTCCCATTTTCTATTTTTAACGATTTGGAGCTCGGATTGAGGCGATTGTTGGGAAATTTTCAGAGGCAACAACGGGGCAAGTGTTCTTAACTCAATATTAGTTAAATTACCCGAATCCATGGTTGTTTTTATCATTTAATTGGTGAATTAAGTTAGAAAAGTTTGAAAACCCTCTTGGATAAATTTGAGTATTTGAGAGCCGAATTGTTATCAGAATTTAGTAATTTTGGTATGGTTAGACTCATGGTGGAATGGGCGTTCCTATTTTGTAACTTTTACCCGATTCCGAGACGTGGTGGAATGGGCTAAAATTCGGATTTTTATGAAAAATTAACATTTTCTTATGGAATTAATTCCAATAAATTTTATTGATTAAAACGAATTATTTGTGACTAGATTCGAGGCATTCGGAGGCCGATTTACGAGGCAAAGGCATAGTAGAGTAAAGAATTTCACGCTCTGAGGTAAGTAACAATTTTAAATCTGGTCCTGACGGTATTAAACCCCGGATTTTGGTATCATGTGATTATTTTGGAGGTGACGCACATGCTAGGTGACGGGCGTGTGGGCGTGCACCGAGGGGGTTGTTACTTGGTCCGTCCCGAAAAACTGTAAAGTTGAATAATTTGTTGTTAGTTATATGCTCTTTATGTGTTGATAAAATTTGACTGTAAATCATGTTGGAAATCATGCTTAGGCTATATGATAGTACTGTTGGGACCCACAGAGGTCGCGTACTTGTTGAATTGCCTGCTAAATGCTATATGTACTCAGTCTCAGTTTTTACTTACACATTTTATCTCAGTCTTTGTTATTATTATTGATACATCATATCGTTGTTGTTTGGGCTGATTTCATGATTAATGAGAGCCCGAGAGACTGGAGAGATTCATGACTGAGAGAGAGGCCGAGGGTCTGATTGTGAGATATTGATATCATAGCACGTGAGTTGGCCGTGTAGATCCTTATATTATACTATAGCACGTAAGTTGGCCGTGCAGCACATGAGTTGGTCGTGCGGATCCTTATATTATACTATAGCATGTGAGTTGGTCGTGCAGCACGTGAGTTAGCCGTGCAGATCCAGATATTTATATTATGGCACGTGAATTGTCCGTGCAGATTATAGCGCTTGGGCTGTAGGAGCTCCTCCGGAGTCTGTACACCCCCAGTGAGCGCGGGTACCCATTGAGAGTTAGTGATGAGGGCTGGGAGCCCAGTGAGTGATTGTTGTCCTAAGAGGTTGTACTTGATTTCCATTTGTTGTTGCACTTAGTTGCTATCTGTCATTGTTATGAAATCTCTGAAAGATTGTTGATATACGGATTACATGAACTGTATAAAAATTGATTTGACATTAAACTGCCAGATTTGATAGCATGTCTATTCTTTGCTGGAATTACTAAAAATGAACCATAACTGTGTAGCTCGTTACTATCTTCAGTTCCTTATTTATTATTGTTACTTGCTGAGTTGGTTGTACTCATACTACACCCTGCACTTCGTGTGCAGATCCAAGTGATCCCGGACATAGCGGGTGTTGATCCTTTCGCGCGGTTGATTTTGAGGAGATTTTGAGGTAGTTGCCGTGTTCCGCAGACCTTGTTTCTCCTTTTCTATCTCTTTGTTTACTGTATTTGGTCTCAAACTATTATAGACTATATTTTCCAGACTTGTATTCATATTAGATGCTCATGTACTCAGTGACACTGGGTTTTGGGGAGTGTTTGTATTGTATTTAAAAATTATATTTTCAACCTTAAAGAGAAGTTTTGGTTTATTGAGATTATCGGCTTGCCTAGTATCGAGATAGGCGCCATCACGATAGATTGGGAGTTTTGGTCGTGACAGTTTGGATCTAGGTCGAGAGCACATGCTAAAATGGGACAGAAAAACTAGTAGATCTTAAACCAAGTGAATACTATCAATGGCTAGTATTAGAATAGAAAAACAGCCACTTGACAGTTAAAATGTTATGCTAAACCTAGTCTCCACATTAGGGCCATCAAACAATGACAAGTAGCGTAAATTAAACTAGCAAAGCTGCACAATACTACTTAATCACTTTTTTATGATTGCATTACAGAACCAATAAAACATTAACAAGTACAATAATGCACATGAACTGCTTTTTTTTTAGTCTTAGTGTATGAGTTAAGTGATAGTGGAATATTTACAGTTACTTTAATCACAATATCAAAGAGTTCCATTTGCACTTTTTACACTACCTAATTAAGTTGACTTAATTGAACTTGTGTAGCTGTTGAAAATGTTAACTAAATAACCAGTTCATCACAACCAATGTAATATTTATAACAGTTCTGGTGTTTCTGACTCATCTCATTTAAAGCATCGTTTGAACTAAATTTGGAAGCCAAGCAAAAAAAGGTACAATTCAATCTCCGTTTATAAATTTGAGTAATAAAGTTATCTCCTTTCATCAGATATCACAATTTGACCCATTATCACAAACAACATAGAGCAAAATCATATTGCAGGAACATTTTTTCAGTGACATTGTGTAATATAGAATGTAAAACCAGTGCCGGCTCAAGGCCAAAGCCACTAAGGCAATGGCTTTAGACCCCACCTTCCCCCCTTTATTAATAGTATGTTTTATGTCCAATTTCTTCAAAAATTACAAGTTTATTTTAATACAAATTGAAAAGAGGATTATTTTAATCATGTGATTGATTAGCTATATTGTCGATCGAAAAAGAATATTAGAAGAAATTGATTAAAAAATTATTAACAATTTTACATCTCAAAAAACTAGAAAGATAGTTTTTAAATTAAATAATTAACTTGAATAGCTGACTATCCAAGTGTTCAAACTTAAAATAGTCGGTCGATGTATAATATATTTATAATATGTGTATAATCATTGTATAATCTATGTATACTAGAAAAAGTAATAGTAAATTCGACCAACTATTTTTGTAAATATCATATTAAAGGTTTAAAAAAAATTAAGGGCTCATAAAAAATTTTGCTTTAGGCCAGCAACTTTGTTAAGCCGCCTTTGCGTAAAACTCGTTCTAGGGATAATACTTAATTATTTTCTTTTTAACTATCACAAATTAAATCCATTTTTTTCCTACCATAAAGATTAACAATAGTTTTTCAATTATTCCGAAAAAAGGCGAAATTAGAATTTGAAGTTTATGTTTGGGATTAATATATGTACATAATCTATTTTTCCTTATTAATGAGATTCAACAATATATGTACATATATTATTTTACCCTATTTCTATGATATAACATTTTTTGGAGTGCGACCTTTTCTCCCGACCTGCTTCTTCAATGCAAAACACTTTGTGCATCTAAAATAAAAAACCTACCCCTCCAATAATTGATCATGCATCATTACATTCACTGGAAAACTATAGTCTATGGTCTAGTGGGTCCAAGGTGCAGTCAAATAAATTTATTTATTTTGGACCAAAAAAGTTCATTCTTTGTGGGGAAGTGATGAAAATGAAAGAGACGTGCAAAGTTATATTCTTTCGTTGTGAATCAGTAAGGTGCATTATCAAGATAAAAAAATGACTCTATTGCCCTAGCCTGTTGGCACCCACTTTGACAAAGACTGGCTGATATAAAAAGGTAACAAGTCTAAATGACTTTACTACCCTTACTATCACGTGATCTTCGAATTTTCTCACGTGACATGATTTTACAACTTTTCCTTTTCTTTCTTTGGAAAGAAATTTCTGTTTTCCAGATACCGGCACACATTACAAAATGGATTTACGTTGCCAATTACTAAGAAAAACAAATTTATAAAAACATACAGAAACTTCCATGTGATGATGTGAACTTCTAAAAATGGTAACATAACATGTAAAATCTATTGTATTCTAAATATACCCACACAAAAAAAGTTACTCACTCAGGTCACTTTTACTTGGCATATATACTAAAAACAAATATTCACTTTTACTTTGCACTTAACGTATATCAAGAGAAAGACAATAATTTTTTTTCTTTTTTACCCACATTATTTATTACTATTTCAAATTATTTTTTCAAATTCAATAAAATATGCATTAATTAATATGAGTAATATGGTAAATTATGCACTTCATTTATTATTTCTTAGGGGGCGTGAAAAGTTAAAAAGCGCCCAAAAGTGACCGGAGGGAGTACAAACTTTTTCTAGTACCAAAATAACAAAACGATAAATTTCTAATGTTAGTCAAAATTCAATTAATTTGATCCTAGGAAAGCGGAAGGTGTCAAAATTCAATTAATTTTCTATTTTCGCATTATGGTTTAATTAAAATTTTAATTTTGATTTTCTTTCATTTTAAAGTTTAACTTTAACCGTATTAATCAGCAAAGAGAGCATTGTCTTCGTTCATGGACGGACTCACTCTCATTTCAAATGGTAAAAACAAATAATAAAACAATTAGCACAAAAGTCAATAACTTCTAATCCTCATTTTACTTTCCAAAAATTGATAAGCAATATTATCCATAGGCAAATTGTAATTTCTCGGTCCCAATTTGACACACTTTTATTTTTACTATATCTTTAAAAAGAATAATATTTTTTTATACGGATTAAAGTTTTATACACCATTAGTATAATTTAACTTACTATAACAACTTACTAACTATTTATTCTAGATTATCAATTAATGTTAATTAAAAAGAATTACATGCAATTATCTTTTAAATGATCCATTGATGTAAATATTTTTTTTACATGTTTAGATATTTAGCATTTTAACTTTGAACTCTCTTAAAAAAAAAAAGAAGAATATAAATTTCATTTTCAATTAAATATCTTCAGGTAAAATGAGACAGGTGGAGTAGAAATATTCATAATTTATTTTTCAATGAGAAAAGAAAAAGTACCCAAAAGTGGCGAGCTGAGCCAGGAAGAAAGGATAGTTCTTCAAAGGAACTAAAGCCAGCTTGTAAAGCACCCGATTCCCTACACCTAGCACCACCGTAGCCGTCGCTGCAACCATTATCTCCGCCGTCTGATCTCTACTTTTCCGGCTATCATTAATCTCCACCACCTGATCTCCCACCGCACACCACCTCCTCCACTTCCCATTCCCGCCTCCGCCGACGCCGCGACGGAGTACGACGGCGGATTCCACTGCCTCAATTACGTAACATTTCGTCGTCGTTGATCTGCTGATGATTGCCGGCCGGTGATTGAAGTTAACATAATGAACCGGTGACCGAGCTGGAAGTTTTGTTGCCGGAACATGACGGCTCACCGGCGACGACAATTCGCCGGTGATTATCCGGCGACAAATCGACATGGTAAGAGCAGGATATAATGTACAATTTAAATTCTTCAGTACAAAATATTCGTAATATAAATTATAATTTTCAGTTAATAATAAGAAGAATTTTGAGAAGATGAGTCGACAGGGGGTGATAGACAAAAGTCAGAAAACGCCATAAATATAAGATGAGTCATGTTTGTGTTGTAATATGATGGTGATTATGATCAAAAGAGAGATAAGGACAAAATAGGAAATAAAATTATGTACTATCTTTTTTCTTTTGGAAATTACAACGAAGGAAACAGATTAAATGAATTGGAAAAGGGACGTTTATTTTAATTTTGTCTTTTTTTAGTTTCGATCGGCGCTATTTACTTTGGAATCACTAATTATGATTCGCATTGAAAAGTCTATTAATAGCTTGTTTGCCAAGACAGACAAGCGCTTTTCAAAAAAGTAATTTTTTTTGAGAGAATCGGTTTGTTTGGCTAACTAATATGAAAAGTATTTTTGAACATTAATTAGTGTTTGATTAAACTTTTAAAAATTATTTTTAAATGTATTTTTCTTAAAAGTATTTCTCAGAAAAGTACTTTTTGGGAGAAACTACATTTTTCTGTTTCTGAAAAACTTCTTCTTCTCCTCAAAATTTTTTTTTTTTTTCCTTCTAAAAATTTAGTCAAACACCTTAATTTTTGGCCAAAAGCACTTTTGGCCCCAAAAAAAACTTGGCAAATATGCTATTAAGGGTAAAGCGTTTTTTACCAAATATGATTCGATTTAGCAAGAAGGGGTTCATTGACCGTATTTTGCAAGAAGGGGTTCATCTCTAAACATCACCTGCAGAACATAGTATTATAATATTATCCGACAACAGTCCTATGATGTTGGAGAGTACCTCCTCTGATATTTTTCCTGTGGAACAATTAGTACAAAAATTTATGTTTTTTGTATATATAATAAGAAAAGAATAATCTGATTAGAAAATAACATGGGTTCAAATTAGAACTCACGATATTACTGTTCAAACTATAATAACTTTACTATTTTCATGATTATTTTGAAGGTGCAATTGCTCAAAGAATTGTCTTTAATTCAAGCACTTAATAGAAAAGTCTCTAAAAAGAAATAGTAGAGCTGGTATTCTTTTAGAAATATTTGTTTCTATATTTTCAGGTCCACTTTTAATGTAACACATGGTTTTTCTTATGCTGGAAGAGGACATATCATCCTATTTAAAACTATTAGCAAATGATTTATCAACCCAAAAAGTGCAAACTCTTTAGTTATTCACAAGTTGACGAGGTTTAAATAAATTAGGGTCTTTTTTTCGCTTACATTTAATTCACTAAGATATTATCAACATGTGTTGCCTATGAATATTTTTGTGTTACCAACAAGCCTATTTATTATTTTGCTAAAAAAACTTTATTGGAAGGAAATTTAACTAGCTTTCAAAGACAAAAACAAAGAAACCTGCTTGTTTGTTCCAATTTATTCGCAGAATAACAACTAAATATCTATGCATTGTATCTATGACTTCAAAAATTATTTTCTACCATCTTAATAAGAGGTCTCAAGTAAATTATAAAACTAGCTTCTGTGTGCGCCGCACGTGCATCCCACGCATTTCGTGCATTACACGTGCATCCCGCGCATTTTGTGCATCCCGCGCATTTCGTGCATCACACGCACGAAATGCATGGGGTGCACGTGCGACACACACAAAATTTAGCTTTATAATTTACTTGAGACCTCTTATTAAGATGGTAGAAAATAATTTTTGAAGTCATAGATACAATGCATAGATATTTAGATATTATTCTGCGAATAAATTAGGACAAACAAGCAGGTTTCTTTGTTTTTGTCTTTGAAAGCTAGTTAGATTTCCTTACAATAGAGTTTATTTTAGCAAAATAATAAGTAGGCTTGTTGGTAACACAAAAAAAATCATAGGCAACACATGTTGATAATTTCTTAGTGAGTTAAATGTAAAAGAAAAAAAAGACCCTAATTTTGGGAATTTTACATAACTGTCACAATTTAAAAGAAATATAACAAATTCGTAGCATGAAATCTAATATTACAGTTGTGACAGAAAAATATTTATATCTGTAGCACACAGTTCCATTAAAATAGTAATATTAATTATTAAACTCTAAACATAAGCAATTTGAATGGAAAATCAATAAAGTTTTGTACAAAAATCATGCATTTTTTTCTCTTTATCTATTAGCTTTCCTTCTTTTTCTTCATTTTCTTAATGTTATTTTCTGCCGAAGCCAATATATTTTTTAAATTTGATCCATTCGTTTTCCCTTTAATTATCTTTCTTAAGTTTTTCTCTTCCTTCTTTCTTTATTTCTTTCTTTCTTAACATAAAGATCTTACTTCGATAATAATATACTTTAATATATACAAAATATATATATATATATATATATATATATATATGAACTAATACATATAAAATATACAATAAATATACATAAAAAAAAATATCTTCAATTAAGACGACACTTAGACATATGAAATATACATAAAAATAATATATCTTAAATTTAATTAAGATGGCATATAAACATACAAAAACATATATACAAAAAATACGAATTTGAATTAAAATGGCACTTGACATATAAAATATGTGTGAAATATACATCTTAAAATAAGATGGCACTTCACAAATAAATATACAAAAATTATATACATAAAAATACATTTTGAATTAAAGTGATACTTGATATACAAAGTATAAAAGACATATAAATCAATACATCTTGAATATAGGTGGCATTCACCTATGCATCAGATTTTAAAAAATGGAGTGAAAAAGATGAATGTTGGACTTAATTTTTATAATATGCTAATAATGAAAAAAAAAAGTGCTCTTTATGAAATAAACAATAAATAATGCTATTTTTTTAAAATAATAGTTAAAAATGATCAAGTGTGTAAAAAACTCTTTCAGTATCCATTTTGTCGCTCGACTAATCTAGAATTCACTTTGCGTATCAAAATGTTTGATGTTCATATCGAAACTATTATCATGACAAATTTTGCATTTTGAAACGATTTCCATTTCTGACATATGAATATGTGATGTCGATCGTTTATAAGCTGTCATGACCCAATTTTACCTGTAGATCGTGATGGCGCCCAACACTACAGCTAGGCAAGCCAACTAATAAATTAAGCATACATTAATAAAATTTAAAACCAAGAAAATATAAACACAAACTCTACCAATGTGTGTGCCAAGACCTGGTGTCACAAGTGAATGAGCATCTAGTAGATTATACAAAACTCCAAATAGTGTCTGAAATGAAATAGACATAATGTAAATATAAGAAGAGACACTGGTAGCTGCAGAACGGCTCAGAAAGGCAGCTCACCACTATGCCTCGGGATGACGTGGGTATGTGATGATAGGTCATCCACTAGTACCTGTCTCAGATCCTGCACAAAAAGTACAGCAAGTATAGTATGAGTCCGTAAACAGCGTGTACCCAGTAAGTATCAAGCCTAATCTCGAAGTGGTAGAGACGAGATGGCCGACTTAGACACTCACTATGGATCAATAATAATAACTGAAATAAAACTAGGATATTTAAATCAGCATGATTTACAGAATTTACAATAATTTATTTTAATCTGCAGAAATAATCAAATTCCTTCAAATGTAACAATTCTCGATATATTAATTAAATTCCTTCAATTCAAATAAATTCTAATTTATCAATTAAATCTCATTTACAGGAGTAACAATTAATTCCTAAACAAGCAAGAATAATAATTCATTAAATTTTAAGGATTATATTTTCAATTTATTAATTAGCTTCACAAGCTGAAATAAATTATTAAAGTATCGTGTAATTATTATTATTATTAAGCACGATTTCTGCCGAGGACGTACGGCCCGATCCAGAGTGTCGTGTACACTGCCGAGGGACGTGCGGCGCGATCCATAGATGCATCTATCCTGCCGAGGCGTTCGGCCCGCTCCACAAGAAAGGAGGACATTTTCTTATGTGCCTCCGGAAGGAGAGTATATTTATTATAAGATAAATTTGGGAGGAGAACAATTTCTTTTAACAATTAATTGATTTAAACAAAAATTAAGCATATGAGATTTCCATCCTTTAATATCTTTATCTAACAATTCACAATATATTCATATATATCAATTAATATTAATTAATCAAAGAATACAATTTACACAAGTAATGCATGCTTTGAGTCCTAAACTACCCGGACTTTAGCATTAATAGTAGCTACGCACGGACTCTCGTCACCTCGTGCGTACGTAGCCCCCACAATTAGCAACAATTATTTAATCTTAATCACCTATGAGGTAATTTCCCCCTCACAAGATTAGACAAGAGACTTACCTCGTCTTGCTCCAATTTAATCCACTATAAGGCCTTTTCCACGATTATCCAACTCTGTCTGGCTCGAATCTAGCCAAAATAATTCGATACAATCACTAAAAATTATAGGAATCAATTCTATAAGAAAATACTACATTTTAAATAAAAATCCCGAAATTAATTAAAAATTCGTCCGTGGGGCCCACGTCTCGGAATCCGACAAAAGTTACGAAATTCGATAACCCATTCAATTACGAGTCCAACCATACTAGTTTCACTCAAATCCGACTCCGAATCGATACCGAAATCTCAAAAATGCGTTTCTATGAGATTTCTAAAAATTTCCCAAATTTAAATCTCAAAACACTAATTTATGGTGAAAACAATGATATACTTGTATATGTAGACCAAATTCGAGTTAGAATCACTTACCCCAATGTTTTTCCCTTGAAAATCTGTCAAAAGTCGCCTTTGCTCAAGCTCAAGTTCGTCAAAAATGGCAAATGGGACGAATGTCCTCTGTTTTTATAACTTATAGCTCTGTCCAGCTCGATCAAGGAGCTCGATCTCAGGGAGCTCAATCTTGGGAGCTCAATCAAGGAGCTCGATCTTGGGAGCTGGTCATGGCCTCGAGCCTGGGACATGGTCATGGCCTCGATCAAGTTCGATCCTGGCCTTCGAGCCTTGCCTTCTATCATGGCCCTCGAGCTGGACATTCGATCGTGGCTTCGATACTGAGCCTCGTCCCTGGCTTCGACTCAGGCCTCGATCGTGGGCTCGATTTCTGGGTTCGATCTGGGGCTCGATATCTGGGTTCGATTCGGGCTCGATCACAGCCCAGAATATATAGCAGAAGGAAAAATTGCAGCAGCTTTTTAAGTACAACTTTTGAATCCGTTAACCATCCGAAACTCACCCGAGGCCCTCGGAACCTCAACAAAATATACCAACAAGTCCTAAAACATCATACGAACTTAGTCGAACCTCTAAATCACATCAAACAATGCTAAAACCATGAATCATACCCCAATTCAAGCTTAATGAAACTAAGAGTTTTCAACTTCTACATTCGATGTCGGAACCTATCAAATCAATTCCGATTGACATCAAATTTTACACACAGTCATAAATGACATAACGGAATTATGAAAATTTTCGGAACTGGATTCCGACTCCGATATCAAAAAGTCAACTCATCGGTCAAACTTCCAAACTTAAATTCTTGTTTTTAGCTATTTCAAGCCTAATTTAACTACGGACTTTCAAATAAGGTTCCGAACACACTCCTAAGTCCAAAATCACCATACAGAGCTGTTGGAATCATCAAAATTTTATTCCGGGGTCGTTTTCTTAAAATGTTGACCGAAGTCAAACTTAGCACTTTAAGACCAACTTAAGGAACCAAGTGTTCCGATTTCACCCCAAACACTTCCAAATCCCGAACCAACCATCCCCGCAAGTCATAAATCATTACAAGCACATACATGAAGTTTTATTTTAGGGAACGGGGTTCTAAAAGTTAAAATGACAGGTTGGGTCATTACATAAGCAGTTCTACTAAATTTATGTAGGTTAAAATACTATATACTCCAATAATAAAAGTTAGTAATGATAATATTTATTAAAACGAATAAGAAATAAAGAATTTCTACGCATAATCTTATAGTATGGACAACCGTGGCAATGAATGCTCCAGACCCCTTATTTCACATCTTATCTCTTTCTTTCCATAATTTGAACAAGAAATTAAAATCTGGGTCTTCGAAAAAATTAATAAAATAAGAAGGATTAAAAAAAAAAAAAAACTCAACTCAAGTGTGAGCTACAATCCCTATCTAAATACCACAGCAATAATCTTGGGAAAGGATTACAACATTAGAAAAAGTTACATCCGTTGCAAATACTTAAAATAAATATTGTAAAACTAACCTCACAATAAAACCAAAAGACACAATTTACATGTAGAAAATCTGCACCCCTAAGAGGGGAAAGACAAAATAGATAGTTGAGCAACCATATAGCACTGTACAAAAATTACAGCTGAGTTTCTCCCCATCCTTTCCTACAGATCTTGTATCTTTAGGAACCAATGGCATTGAATTATTGCGAAAGAATTCTTCATACCTATAACACAATTTACTCACCATTGCATACATGGTAGGTGACAGATCGACAGCGTCTCTAGATTTCTGCTGGAAAAAAACCAAGAAACTTGTGTGATTTATATACCAAGAAAACAAAGAGAACAATCTAAAAAGTAATGATCATACAGGCGCCATTCGCCAATTTCAAGTTGTGTTCTTCTCTTCTTCGAGTATGGCAGCCTCTCTAAGTGTGACTTGTGCCTCGTTTTCCCTCCCCAATGTGAAAAGAGAAGCAGCTTGCAAATACGATGCGATATGCCAAACAGGAGATATTACTTGTGCTTGTACTGCATCGTTGAGGGCTTCTTGTGGCATATCACTCATGAGATAAGACAGACTCCGATGAGCGTACACAGTTGGTGAGACCATGGTTCCAACATCGATAAACTGCGAGAGCAAGCAAAGTAAATAAATAAAGATAAAGTTCAAAAATAGATAATCCACATTATATGGTACGATGTAGCATAAACATTATGGCGGATTTCCAACCTTCGTATAGCATTCAATGGCAGCTCTAAAATCTTTGTTCTTGAAAGCAACATCACCCTTTTTCTTTGAGTTCAATGTTTCCAGCATCTGATCTGTCCACATCTGAAATGAAAGCTGCAAGCAAGAAAAAAAGTGTGATTATCATGAGATGCTAATAATTCGCTTTCGAAAACATATAAGCTTGGATATGATCACAATATGAATGATCAACACGTTGAAACAAATGAATCACATGCATGGTGGAGCCAGAATTTGAAGCCTACGGGTACGGGATTCTGATCCTTTTAAGTTACTGGGTCCTAAATTAATAATTTATAAATATTTAACGAATTTTTAAAGATAAATATAGGGTTTGAACCAAAACTACTGGGTTCGGCTAAACCGTAGCCCGACACTCTAGCTCCTACCCTGGGTTTATGTTGTCATGCTCAAGTACCCTATATTAAGAAGACGGCATTATTTCTATAGAACAGGAACAAGTTATAGAAGTTCAGAAAACATGCATTTACAAGATCAGAACATCAGTTTCAAGAATAATAATTGATAGACAAACCTCAGTAGCTGCTCCCTCATCATCTTTGTACCCAAGCGTGTCTAAAATCTCATGGATGGCAGTCAAGTCGGTTTTCAAACAAGCTTCACCAAGTGGAGATAGAGACATAGTTTCGCCATCACGTGATATACCCATCAATACATGAGAGGGAACCTGAAAAACAATTAACTAAAACTTCAATCCAGCTAAATTTTGTTATGTAAGAGATGATTTGTGGCATCTTACTATCAGCCATTGTAGATAAGTGAAATCAAGTTTATGGAAAATACATATAAACCGAGATGCTTCTCACCAAATTTTAGTTACTGCTTTCGCTAATTTTGGATAACTACTGTATTATAGAAGTATTTAGATACTGATGGAAGAAAAATGCCTAGCCAAAAGGCATAGAAGGAAAGCACAAACCTCAGCTTCTTTTTGAAGAGGATATAATGCAGCAACTAATGACTTGAGATTCGGCCGCTCACGAGGCTCGTATTGTAGACATCTTGAAGCAATCCGTACCAATTCAGTTCCGTCATCTGTAGAAAATTGACCTTCCAAGCAAGAATCAGTTAGCATCTGAAGATTCCGGTCTTTTATCAGATCCAGTGCCTGACACAAGTAGATATACATATTAGAAGGAAAGCACCGGAAAGAATTGCATTAACTCATGAATGCCTGTATTTTGATAACCATCTCTCATCCTCAGTAATTATTTGATATATTTTACCTAAACTCTGGAAAAGTATAAATCACAATATCTTCTGTTTCAGTACACATCTTAAGTAAGAGTGGAAGCCACCCCAGCCTTTGTTAAATTTGATGTCCAATTTTAACAATTTTGCCAAGATTTTGTAGCACACTTATCGTCATGTTTTCTCGTCACGATAAAGTGTGAGCAATATGGTTGTAGGGGTCACTTAAATAAGAAATAAATAAATAAATTTAGCAGGAAAATCATACATGGCTAGGAGGGATGTGTTTTCCACTGAGAAGGTCAAGCAAAAGTGTCCCGAAGCTAAATATCACACTCTCTGGGGTGATTCTTCCTACAAAAGTTCAAAATAACTGAGTGGACGAACTATAACAAGTTCAATAATTCAAGAAAGGATAAATGTAATTAACACCATGAATTCAATGAACCCTCCACACTGAATGGATCGAAACAAAATCCTAAAAGGTACGCGAACACCATAATGGTCAAAGTGGGTCCTTTTGTTACCTGTCCTCAAATATTCAGGAGGAGTAAATGCCAAGTTTGTGCTGTAACTTTTTCCATCTCGACTGTTCTTCATCAAACCAAAACAAGAGAGTCGGGGATCACCATCCTGTGAAATATATGGAGGGGACCATAATAGGCATTTGAGTACTTGATTTGTGAAATTTACCAATACTAAAAACAATGTAAAGAATGAAGATGTAACAATCAACTTACTTCATCGAATAATATTCTATAAGCATTAAGATCATGATAAAGAGCACGCCCTTTGTCTGTACAATATTCAAGAGCCTGTGCAATATACAAGGCCACCCTTAACCGCATTGCCCACTTCATTGGTTGTGTGTCCCCTGAGTTAAGCTCTCACAGATGAGTCGACTGAACTTCATTAATCATTAACGAAGAAAATGTTATCTTTTTAAGGAAATTCATGACTTTTCAGTCTTCCTTGAAGCAATTAAATCAAATAGGTATCCATCTCATGCAATCTCATTTTCCACTTCCCACAATTGCTCTCTAGGTGAAGTTTGGATAAGCTCATGGTCAGGTTCTACTTTTCAAGTTCTTCACAATACCTAACCATGTGAAAACGAAAAAAAAAATGGAGAAAAGAAAAAGAAAGGTACCAAGTTTAACTTTTCCAAACTGATTAACCTCATCTGTTTCTTTGACTTCATTATCATAGTCATTGCTTCCCACTCTCTCTTCTTCCCTCTCTTCTTAAACTAATCCTAGTGGAAAGAGAAAGCAACAGCAGTAGCAGACTAGCAGTGGCAGTGAATTGGTGTGTGAGCATTTGAATTTGCAGTTGAACAAGAAGAGGGATGATTCATTCAGAGTCTGTATAATGAACTACATGTATGGACATGCTAGCAAGCAAATACAATTTCACTTCAGAATTTAAGCAAATATATCTGAGGGAAATAATTAGAAACCAAAGAGTAACTCTTTTATAAAGTAAAATAAATGGGAAGTCATTCTTCTTCTTCTATTTTTTATGACGGTGGTGTCCAGGCCCAGCTTGTGCGCATCTCGACTATTCCACCGGGTACCTGCTACCTCCCACCAACACAGGTACCGGATAACTGTGCCCACTAAGGCTCACCTAGTGTTTTTTGCATGCGCTGGGGTTTGAACCTGAGACTCACGTTCTTCTCCCATTCATTGACCACTAGACCACACCCTTGTATGCAAATGGGAAGTCATTCTCTAAGATGGATACTAACAGGGAAAGCCATAAAAAGGAAACAGGAAGTCATTCTCTAAAATGGAACAGTGCATGAACCGAAGGCTTTGTTTGGGAATTTCAGAACAAGGTCACAGATTGGACCTGCTCTTGTTGTCTAGCTAGAATTGGAAAAGAAAATCCAGGTGCAGTCTCATCCCGCTTGAAGTTATCATTTTTAGCCAAAAATCTCGTCGATAAAGATAGTTCCGCAAATCTAGCATTCAAACATTTATATAAATAAAACATATTATAGGTACACAAAATATGTTTTACCATTGAACAAGTGGAGAAAGTAAAGAAATCAAAAGAAATGGTGATACATGTTTATGAGCATGTTTATCGGCAAGTGAAATAAATCTGAATTTGTTTCACTCCCAGTGAAACCAGTCCTGAGGTAGGAAACAAAAGTATCTGTGTGGAAGCACTTACAATGAAAAAGATGCTTTGCAAGTGTTTCATTGGGAATGAAGTCTGCAACTAGCAACCTCTCATCACCCTCGCAGCAACAGCCAAGAAGATTTGCTAACCTATTGTTGCGGAGTTGACCGACGGCCCTTGCTTCTTCCTGAAATTTCCCACATGAAGAGAGAAAATCAAGTTCGAATCTATAGCTTAACTAAGTTAAGCATTTGTCAGCAGATGAAACACAAGTTAACTACAGGCTACAAACTCATTCAAAAGAGTGCAACAACAACAACAACGACCCAGTAGAATCTCACAAGTGGGGTGTGGGGAGGGTAGTGTGTACGCAGACCTTATCTCTACCCGAGGGGGTAGAGAGGCTGTTTCCGATAGACGCTCGGCTCAAGAAGACATTCAAAAGAGTGCGAGCACTAAAAAAGCAGAGCTTATGGCATGCATTCATTTCTCTGTTTCCATTTTGCTGTTGATGCATCAGGTACATAATATAAGAAGGAACTAAAAAATTTTTGGAACTGGAACAATGCCAGCCAAATACTTACTAAAAACTGCCGGGAATCAGGCCACGCAGATCTGTTGAAGCGTTTAACGGCAACCGGTCTCTGGTTCTCCAGCTTTCCTTTATAAACAACATTTGGAGCTTTCACACCGTGTTCCGAAACAATATTCTCTACAGCAAATGCAGATGTAGCTATCCTGAGCTGCTCAAACGTAAACTCGTGGAATGCAGGCAAATCACTAACTTCATCTTTTTCTTCATCTATTAGAAGCATGAAAATAGATAAGATTAACAAGTATTAAACACTGCAGGAGGATGGTGATATACAAAAGCTTATAATAAAAGATATACATACCAGGATTTTGAGCCTCGTGAATGGGGCCACTCTGTCCTGTCCAGCAACACGAGGCAAATTTAGAATATTCACAGCCCATTACACTAATAGTAGCTTCGAGTTTGAAGCACAACCCGACAAATCACACTTTCTGCTGCTTCAAGATCTGCATTTGGCTGCAAGAACCAGACGGTCAATTCAAGTGTATTCTGCTTCTTAGAAGATATCCGAGTTATTGAAACTAGAAATAGAAAGAAATAGTCAAGTTTTTTAAAGAAGTGCAACGAAATTGTCACTCATTAACAATTCACTTTGGAACCTCCAAATGCTTCCTGATATACCCAACAGAAACTGTACGACAGCACTTTTTCAAATCCAAAACTAAAAGCAAATAGACTAGTTGGAGTCGGCTATATGAATCCTCTATTTAAATTCCACTCTATTCAGGCGAATTTAATTCCAAAATCAGGAAAAGACCATATACATTTTATCAAGCAAATAGCATAAGGTTCAGAATCAACAAAAGGAAGTACCTTTAGCAGCAACCAGAAACACAAACTTCCTCTGCAAAGCAACCAATTCTTCCCCACCAAAAAGCTTCCTTTTTTCAACTGAGTCAACCAAAAAAATTTTACACTACCTGAAGTCATATAGGTCAACTCAAGTCAAAATCAAAGCTTCAAAGCTTAATGCATAAAACAATTCACATAAAAATACATAACCAATACACACCCATAAAAACCCATATACATATATACATGTATTTATAGAATATATAACTCAAGAAACCCAATTCAAAAATTAAAGCTTCTAGCTTAATGCATCAAAATCCACATAAAAACACACAATTTTATACACACCAATTAAAACTCACATACATATATACATGTATATGCAGATAGCTCAAGAAATAGATGAGAAAAAGCAATAAAAATGAATTGTTGATTCATTTTTCAACCCAAGTCAAAAAATTAGAGCTTCAGGCTCAATGCAGCAAAACCCACATACAAAACACAAAAACAACAAGAACCTAAAATACATATATACATATATTTATAGATAACTCAAGAAACCCAACTCAAAAATTAAAGCTTATAGCTTAATGCATCAAAATCCACATAAAAACACACAACTTATACACACCGACAAAAACCCACATACATATATACATGTATATGTAGATAGCTCAAGAAAGAGCTGCGAAAAAGCAATAAAAATGAATTCTTGATTCATTTTTCAACCCAAGTCAAAAATTAGAGCTTTAAGCTTAATGCACCAAACCCCACATACAAAACACAAAAACAACAAGAACTACATATAGCTCAAGAAATAGATGAGAAAGAGCAATAAAAATGAATTCTTGGTTATTCTTCAACCCAAGTCAAAAATTAAAGCTTAAACCTTAATGCGCCAAACCCCACATACAAAACACAAAAACAACAAGAACCCATATACATATATACAAGTATCAATATATAAGTTAAGAAATGGAGAGAAACTAACCCAATAAGAGCTGCTTCTAACAGCGGAGAAGAAAGAGAAAAGAGTCAGCTGAAGTTGAGAATATATATACATATATATAATTAATGATTACAGAGAAGATGGATAGAATGAGAAATGTGATTGTACAGATCCCTTTTAGTGTGTACACAGTTGCTCCATTATTAGTAGTATACTAAGCACAAATTTTATGTTTCTTACATGATTTTCCACTAGCATAGACCTGTTTTTTTGCCTGTATTTAAGACAGCTAAGACCCATAATCATTTGTCTTTTTAAGATTAAGAAAAAGTTGTTTAGTATTTGACATAATTAGAACTAATTATTCTTACCTAATTGGTCAATTATGGCTCCCTACTTAATTATCTAGTGAATTCTCTTTATCAAACGCAGTCCTTTCATTTTTTTCCTTATAAACTGTTATGGAAAGATGTTGTCTCTTAGTGGGTCCTTTCATTTGTGGACAAATTATATTGGAATTATAACAAGAAATTAAATAATAATGAGATTATTTTGAGAATATATTTTTGTTAATATTTGTTTGATTTATTGAATAAAAAATGAGATATACGAGTATAATATAAAATATGTATTTAATTTTATAATAGATAAATTTGAATAAAAAATTTATTTTTAATTTTAACATTATCTTTCTTAAAAGACTTTGGGAGATTGGAGAAGGGGTAATGTGTCATTTATTGTTTATTTCGAATTTAGTAATCAACAAATTATTATCCCACTTTGAGTGTGATATAAAAATAATACCATAATTATAGTATAAAGAATATCGGGTTACCAGAATCAAAAGTTCAATCAAAAGTGGGATAAGATAATCTTATATTTTATTTCAAGATTATTATCCCTTATCTTTGTAATCAAATTACCCCTTAGATTATTATTAATTTCATTGTTCAATAAGTTAGATTGTGATTGTATTGATTTTAAACGTGGCTTAAACTCCAATTTAAGCATGTAAATTTTTATAAGACAATTAGTCAAAGTCATCCAAAGTATTTAGAGATGTCAATGAATTAAGTATGAGATGAATGTAGCAAAACATGACTCTTCGCTCCAAACCTCCAATTTTATATAGGAGTATTCTTTGGTTTGATTCCGAATAGTATAATCTATATAGTTTTCAAACGAAATTATCATTTTTAACTGACATAATAGTCTAATAGACCTTTGTACTTATTTCAGTTTGTCATCTTGGTCCCTATACTCTAAGAAGTTTCATTTAGACACTTTTACTTGATCAAAATCGATGTTTTAAACCCTCAACAATGCTTATTCCTCACTCGCGCTCTAACAATCATTACACATAATATCCACATCACATAATTAATACCACGTCAGAAAAAATAACCAAATATTAAAATTAAAGCTCAATCTTCCATCCTCAAATATTCACCAATATCAGTTTGACGAAGGCATGAAGCACTACAATCCCATTAAGATCCATCTTTCTACTCTGAGCACCTAAGTTTTAACTATATTTGAATTTTTATCACCTTCTACTATGTAAATATTTTTAGAAATTTAATATATATTTTTTTAGCTTTGTTACACTTTATTTTATATAGGGTAAAAATTAAAAATAATTTAAAAGGTCAATTATTATTATTAATATTATTTTTATTTTTATTTTTATTTTTATCTTTATTTTAAAATAAAATAATTTTTTTTTAAAAAGAAAAAATTAAATATTTTTGTAAAGTTTTTGGATGGGAATAAAAAAATAAGAAAATTATAAGTATGGAATTAAAGTCTCTTCTGAATAGTTGAATCCGAGCACATCTATGGTACGCTACTGGGACCAATTCCAAAATCTGCATAAGAAGTGCAGAGCGTAGTATCAGTACAACCGACCCCATGTATTGGTAAGTGCCGAGCCTAACCTCGACGAAGTAGTGACGAAGCTATGACAAGACACATACACAATCAATATGTACAAATATATACAAATACAAAGTAGCAATAATACAATAAATAATAATTTATCGATTGGGAGGGAACATGCTAAGGGGAATGATATAATTATTTAAGTAGGAGAAATGTCACTTAGCAGCCAATTAATTCATCAACAATAAAATGAGCAAATGATAATATGAAAGTGCACTGCACCACCTTTCGTGCTTTTACTCTTATTATGCACGGTATCACCCTTCGTGCTTTTACACTCTCCGAAAATGATACGGCATCACCCTTTGTGCTTTTACACTCACAAATGGCACGGCAACACCCTTTGTGCTTTTACACTCATAAATGGTACGGCAATACCCTTCGTGCTTTTATACTCTTCCTTACCATGACAATGATATTATAAATAATTAAAATGGCACGACATCACCCTTCGTGCTTTTACATTCTTCCTTACCATGAAAATAATAATATAAATTCGGAAGAGTATTTAAATACGAGGATATACACTTATCAATCAATTCAATACCAAAATACCGACTTCACCTTCCAAAATATTCAACAATAATTAAATGAATAATAATAATTTCATGACTAATGATCAAATAATCAAAAATAAACTTAAGCATGAATATCTTAATTAAATAGACAATTATTCACAATAAATAAATTTCACCCGCATGCTTTGACTCAACCACAACGCATAAGTACTCGTCACCTCATATATACGTTGTACCCGCATATTAAATCATGTAGCAAATACACAAATAAGTCATACTCCCTCAAGTAAAGTTTAACTACAACACTTACCTCGCTTGCAACCAAATTCAAGAATCTAATAAACCTTTGCCTCACGAATTCGTGTCCGAAATCTTCAAATCTAGTCATAAATAATTCACTATACTCAATACAAATAGTAGGAATTAATTCCATATGAATTTACTAATTTTCCGGATTAAAATCTGAAATTCATCTCAAAAATTATCAGTGGGGCCCACGTATCGAATCTCAAAAAAACTTACGAAATCCGAACTCCCGTTCCAAGATGAGTCCAACCATACAAAAATTACCAAATTCCGAGGTCAAATGGACTTTCAAATCTTAATTTTTTGTTTTTGAAAAGTTTTACAAAAATTTCAATTTCTTCCATCTAAATCCGAAATAAATGATGAATGTAGACATGGATTTATGAAATATAATCACTTTTGGTTATATAACACTTACCCAATTCAAACTAGTGAAAATTCCCCTTGGAATCGCCTAAATCCGAAACTCAAAACTCAAAAATGAGTAAAAATGGCTAACTTCCGATTTTATGGGTTCTATCCAGGCCTTTCCGCATCTGTGGACGCTTGACCGCATCTGCGGTTTCCGCTTTTGCGAAAATGGGGCCGCTTCTGCAGGATGGGGCGCTTCTGCGGCTTCGCAGATACGGCAAAAGTTCCGCACCTACGCACACTGCCCAACCCCTTCCCTTTCGCTTCTGCGAGGCAAAACTCGCTTCTGCGAGCTCGCATATGCGGTCTAAAATCCATATGTGCGATTACACCAAAAGGCCAAAATTTCAGATTTTTCCTTAAGTCCAAATTTTGATCCGTTAACCATCTGGAATCCACCTGAGCCCCCCGGGACCTCAACCAAATGTACCAACAAGTTATAAAACATAACACGGACTTACTCAGGGTCTCAAATCACATCAAACAATATCGAAATTACAATTCACACCTCGATTCGAACTTTTAAGTTTTCAAACTTTTCAATTTACAAATCTTGTGCCGAAACATGTTAAATGAATCCGGAATGACTTCAAATTTGGCACACAAGTCATAAATGACATAACAGAGCTATTCAAATTTCTAGAATCGGATTCCGGCCTCGATATCAAAAAGTCAACTCCGTGGTCAAACTTGAAAATCTTTAGCCTTTAAATTTCTAGTTTCCGTTAAATGGTCATAACTTGAGCTAGGGACCTCCAAATTAAATTCCGGGCATACGCCCAAGTCTCAAATCATGATACGGACCTACTGGAATTGTCAAAATACTGATTTGGATCCGTTTGCTCAAAATATTGACCAAAATCAACTCAGTTGAGTTTTATGGCTCTAAACATGCCCTTCTTTCCGAACCTCATTACACCTTTCATAGGTGAAAACCAGAGCAATATTCTTTCTCCAACCATGAATACAATATCACGAACCTTGCGTTCGGCATAACTCTTTTGCCTAGACTGAGCTATGTGAAGTCGATCCTGAATAACTTTGACCTTATCCAAGGCATCTTGTACCAAATCGGTACCCAACAACCGAGCCTCTCCCGGTTCAAACCGGCCAACTGGCAAACGACATCGCCTTTCATATAATGCCTCATATGGAGCCATCTGAATGCTCGACTGGTAACTATTATTATAAGCAAACTCCGCAAGTGGCAAGAACTGATTCCAAGAACCTCCAAAGTCTATAACACAAGCGCGAAGCATATCTTCCATTATCTGAATAGTGCGCTCTGAATGTCCTTTTGTTTGTGGATGAAATGATGTACTAAACTCAAACCGCGTGCCTAACTCACATTGTACAGCCCTCCAAATGTGTGAGGTAAACTGTGTACCTCGATCTGAAATAATAGATACGATCACACCGTGAAGGCGGACAATCTCACGGATGTAAATTTCAGCTAAACGCTCTGAAGAATAGGTAACTGCCACTGGAATGAAATGTGCTGACTTAGTCAACCTGTCCACAATGACCCAAACTACGTCAAATTTTCTCTGAGTCTGTGGGAGCCCAACAACAAAATCCATAGTGATACGCTCCTACTTCTACTCAGGAATTTCTAACTTCTGAAGCAAACCACTAGGTATCTAATGCTCGTACTTAACTTGCTGATAATTCAGACACCGAGCTACATATGCAACTATATCCTGCTTCATTCTTCTCCACCAATAATGTTGCCGTAAATCTTGATATATTTTGGCGGCACCTGGATGAATAGAATACCTGGAACTGTGGGCCTCTTCCAGAATTAATTCACGAAGCCCCTCCACATTAGGCACACAGATACGACCATGCATCCGCAAAACTCCATCTTCCCCAACAATAACCTATTTGGCATCATCGTGTCGCACCGTATCCTTGAGGACAAGTAAATGAGGATTATCATACGGCCTCTCTCAGATGCGCTCATATAAAGAAGACCGAGCGACTGTGCAAGCTAAAATCCGACTGGGCTCTGAAATATCTAACCTCACGAACTGATTAGCCAAAGTCTGAACATATGCAGCTAACGGTCTCTCACCAACCGG